TTAGCAATTGTTTTTCTAAGATCTAAATATATACAATAGGTGAAATTAAAAACAAAAATTATCGTTTGGAAGCAGACCGTATTAGGAAGATTTTATCATCAACGCAGAAAACGATAGCGATGTTTCGTAATCGAGGTTTTACTGTATTTTACTCTAAAATGCTGACGATGAATATTTTCTTTCGCGCATTTTTGGGAGAGCCCCTTGCACACAAAAGCATGTTTTTCGTCTTTTAATTCCCCGAAGGTTTGGCAACCCATTGATGGATCGGCAAGAAGTGTTCTAAGACCAGTAATGGCTGGGGGTGAGAAAAGCATTTATGGAACACTTATTTTATTATTTTCGAAGATTCCCTTCCCTGTTTTGGAGACGCGTATTAAAATCTTTTTTTTTTTTCGTATTTATTTCGATTTTGTATTCTTATGCTATATTTATTTCAATGTCATCTTACCTAAAATTAGGCACACCGTTTTTCTCCCTCCATCTTATTTGTTTGAGGATGAATTAAAATCTTCTGCCGTGGGGGTAGGGGGCATGTCAAAGGGTGTTGTCCTCTAAGATCGATGATTTCAACACTGTCGGAAGAAGAAGTAGGAAAACCGGCCTAGCTTTTGCTGTTTCAAAGTCGTTTAAGAAATACAACTGAATTGCGCCAGGTTTTTGATCGTTAATGATTACTGCTCCTTTCCAATAACCCTCCCTTCTTTTTTTTTAAACTCAATTTCAGCTTCCAGAAGAAACGAACAACTCAATAATTGATAGTTAAGGATGGCATACTAGCACAGATTTTTTTTGAGATAAGCTTTTCAAGCTGTGGTAGTAGTAGACAAGAGAGATTGCGTGGCGTACTAACAAAAGTGACAAATACGATAATTGACCAAAAAGATATAGTTTAATTGCATATTAAACAATAACTAAAGACCATCGATTTAGTAATTTTAAAATTTAATAATTTTTGAAGAAAAGAGCTCGAAATCAACTTTTAGAAGTATATTCCCGTTATAAATAAAAACTAGAGATTTTTTCAACAAAAAAAAAAAGTAACAGGCGTTTAAATGACTTATAGATTATCTAAATTTTACGAACTATTGACGATGCAATTTTTGACATTATATCCACGATATAGCCAATTTACATGCTATATAATTTATAACCGTCGTTGAACAGCCGACCCAATTTTATGGGTTTATACATAGTTTACGACTACATAGTTTATACATAGTTTACGACTACTAATGTTACATTCTATAGCCTTGTAATTTTGAATCTAGAAGACAAGGGAACTTCTGGATCAAGTATTGGCAGAAATGTGCCTTCGTGGAGGACTTATAGGTGGAACTAACCCGCATTTGCGTTACACGGATAGAAAGACCACGAGAACCTCCCACGGTGAGCCTGACGGCAAAGGGACTCTAACCCGTGATCCGTCTACCACTGAGGATATTTCAAGACAGCACTTGGTCCATGCAAATGGGATGCAGATTCGTATCGATCAGCTACCGCTGGAATTCGAACCCGGCTCACCTCATTGGAAGGCGAACGCTCTATCCCCTGAGCCATCGTGACTCAATTTACATGCTATTGGGATGGTACAGAATCTAGCAGAGTTATATTCCTACTAAATACTTGAGCCGCCGCGGGTTTCTTTCAAAGTATACCGTCTGGGACGGGATAGCCTTGTTGTTAGGGTGTTGGACGCGTGTTCGAGTGGACGGGAGTTCGAATCCAGCCGGCCGAAGAATCCCCGTGGTGACTGATGCACGTTAAATCTGTCGGGGTCACAAAGTCTTCTAAGTTCCCATAACAAATCAATACCTCTGGGGGTACTTATCCAGGAGTTCCCACGTCTTCTGGATTAGGTTCAAAATTACAAGGTTACGGCATTGAACATTGGTTGCTGTAAACTTTATTTTGGGTCGGCTGCTCAGCGACGGTTATAAAATTAAAAAAATGTGTACCGTCTAAAATATAATGATTTAAAATATCATTCCAGCAGTAATAAACAACATTTAGTTTGAGAGCATTGTGAAAAATTTAAAGCGCAAAATGTAAATGAAAATTTCTGGATGGAATTCTGATTTTGTTTCCTAATTTGCCATTGAAATCTTTTTCATCAAATTATTCTTGAAACGGCACGAAACTAAAAACAGATGCGTTATTTACGAACTGAGTAAAAAATTAATATTCAAAATCATCGTTACTTGGTGAAAAAACTACCTGCTCGAAAGAAAATTAAAAATGTCAGTGATAGCTAGATGACATCTATCTAAGATAGAAAAACTGTCGGAACATAAAAAATGCCTGACTTTGAAGCCGTTAAATTTTGGAAGAATAAAAAATAAAGTCTGTGACAATAAAATTTTTTATGAGCTGTTTAGCATACCAGCCAGCATTGGAGAAATAAAATAACGGAGATTTTACAATTAACATTTTTTAGGCTACGAGTAAAATTTTGATACATCATGCAGTACCACGTATGTCAAAAAGAGAAATTCAAAATTGAAAATAATATAAGCACTGAAAATAATTTAAGCAAAGTAAAAAAATATGTAAATAAGTCTTAATCTAAAGAAAGTTTTTTTAAACCATTATTTATAATTACTTAAACTATTTTATTTTATAACCGCCGTTGAACTGCCAACCCAATTATGGGTTTACGACTACTAATGTTCAACTCTGTAACCTTCTAATTCTGCACCCAATCCAGAAGACAAGAGAACTCTTGGATAAAGTATTGGGAAAAATTTGTCTTCGCGGAGGACTATTTGATCGAACTAACCCGCATTTGCATTACATGGAGAGAAAATCCATGAAGACCTCCCATGGTTAGCCTGACGGCAAGGTGCTCTACCCCATGATTCGTCCACCGATGATACTTTACGTCAGCACTATGGTCGGTACGAGCCGGGCGCGGTATTCGTATCAATCAGTAAGCGCTGGAATTTCAACCCGGTTCAACTCCTTGGAAAGCGAACACTCTATTCCCTAAGCCATCGCGTCTCAACTTAAACTATTAACACTCAACATACTGCAGTATTGGCAATAGCATCATCCGTTGAGGAATAAGAGAAGTATTTTAGGCATCAGTGAATATTTTATCACCAAAGAATTTTTTTTTTCAATTTCTTCAACAAATACGGAGAAATTTAGAATATACGGGTAAACAGGAGATAGTCGTTAATAAACAGGAGACTAGTCAGGTATGGATTAGGGAAACGTTCTTGAAATAAACGGAGATCAGATTTTACAGGAGATTTGGGATTAGAATACCACTTGAACAAAACATCGTATTGAAACAGGAGTAGTCAAACCGTTGCACTTTATTCAGTTCTTATATCATGCGAAATTTATAGATACTTCTAGACGATTTAATCATAGTTTTACACACTGAGGGCGCATGGGAAAAGAAGATGACTAATTGTACACAAGTTGTAAGCCGCATATCGCTGGTTGACTGAATGCAAATAATAACAAGCTTCCTAAAACAGTAAGAGATTTAGAAAATTTCCGGTGTACCCCTCCGCTTATGTTAACCTTGCGAGGCAATGTGTGAGCAGGCTCAATATTCTAGAAAGTTTTATTTTGGTGATTTTTGTTTAAATTGACACATAATTTTACGATTCATAAGAGTTTTCTGCGAATTATAAATTCTACCAGGTCGTGGAGCCTAAAACAAATTTAACAAAATTAATATCATGGCATTAAAAACAAGTGTAAAAAGGTCTGGTTTCTTAGGACAAGCGCCTTATCTGGGCGTCAGCGGAAAATTGACGTAGAGCTGACGCCAAAAAAATACTTTTTTGTTAGCTCAGCGTGAGCAGTCGGTCCAACGCAGACATTATCTCTCATTGCGCATGCGTTAATAACGTAAACAAATATTTATTTTGAATTTGTTTTGATTTTGTTATTGTCGACCAGTGTTTTAGAGAACAAATAATGACTTTGTCCAAGAAAAAACACAGCACTCTTCATTTAGCTCAGCTATAATATGTTTAATTAAGAAGCTATGTTTAATGTCAAAATCAAAATCTTGGCTGATTTCAATGTGCTGTTGGATGTCGTCCGCCATTGCTTCTGTGGTTAACGTCACGTTGTAGTCCAACTGCAGTTGAGTTGGACGGCAATTGTAGTTCAAGATGAGCGTTCGATGACGTATACTATCAAACTCACAAATGAACCAATCAGAGGTTAGCGCTGATTTCCAGCTGACGGCGTCCTGTCCTAAGAAACCAGGCCTTTAAGGTTAGCCATGTTTTGATATTTGTTTGTGTAGCATCATACAAAGCGTGCGCAGAGTCTTTCATATGTTGTTTGTTTCGTTGAAAGTTAGATTGAAAAAAAACGCGTTATATTCAAAACAGTACAAGTATAATGATACTGGATAATGCGTTTTTTTTTCAAGCTTAGGCGTAAAAATTCAGGCGGAAGTAGTAACCCGAAGTCTTGCGATGAAGTTTAGCCCCTAGTGCCATCTGCGCTTAGCTTTACTACCATCCATAAATTAGAGTGGAAAAAAAACATGGCACATTGTATTTAAAAGTTCCGGACGCTCCGTGGCAGAAAATAGGACGTCAATTCTATGCTGATATCGACTGCAGGAGAAAAATTAATGAAATTCTAAAATATACCTTAGAAGATCTGCTTACCCCGAAAGTACCTTAGAACATTTTTAATCCTAGAAGCACTTCGCCTTGAAAAGGGGACAATTGAACTTTTGGTCGACTATCTTAATTATTTTATTAATCTTATTTTAGATCTTATATGTTTTTAATGTCATTTTTCTTGTTTTTACCATTTGATGTATTCAAAAGATTAGCCAACCCTGCCTTGAAGTTGTCACTATCAGACAAAAATCATGTGAACACAATATTATCATCCAAATTGGGGAATATATCGCAAAAGAAATATCTAGTGGGACAAAATCCCATGTTTAGCTATATTGTATGGTGATCAAAGGATATTTTGTGCAGATACAGAGACCTTTTAAATATGAAACTTACCCGTCGCGGTCCTTCCAGCATTCAAATGAGAAAATGGTTGAAATAATCCCCAGAAATCACTACTATTTGATATGGCTGTTTCGAGCATTGTGGCTGTAAACATGCCATCTAAAGGCATGCACTGGAGCACTATCTCTTCCAGAAGATTCTCGATTGCCGCCGTCAGATAGATGGCAGCATACTGATGCACAAAGGAACCAATTCGAACGTCGCACATCCACCTATGAAAACGCCCAACAGACAGCTGAAGACCAGCCCTGGCACTTTTGCTGAGTTTCATCTGATCACCGCTGACAGCCGAAATGGCGGCAGATCGGTGACAAGCTTTGATGCAGCTGTCTGCCAGAGCGGGTGACAGTACAGTCTTCAAGGAACTACTGATATCCTGCTTCGTGCACATTCCCAAAGTTTTGGAAAACCTTTGAGCTTCTCTGGCGATTCTCACCAGAGGTCTCTGGAGTAGGTAGGATAACCTAGGCACGGTTTCCATCGATATTTGTCCCAGGTGCTCTCTCAACCTGCCCGTCTGCATCACTTTCAAAATGTCGTGATTGGACCAGGGCACTCTCTGGAGTTCCATCAAACGGGTGTGATTGTCCACCCAAACGAACTCATCGGCGTTTGTGATGTTGGTGTTGATGGTTTCGAGGCTGGAGTGCCTCATCAACCGTCTGACCGGTTCGGATTCACTACCACTCACGGAGGAATACGTAGACGTGGAATAACTAGTCCTGGATCCGTGAGTACGCACCGAAAGTTGTTCGATAGCCTGTCGAATGTCTTCAAGTCCACAGGCACCTTCGAGGGGTGTCCTGTGGGGTTTCCTAGAGGGTGTGGGCTTTCGACACACTTTCGTGGAAGCGTGGTGAGATGACGTAAGCAGTCTTTCGTCTTCCGGCACCGACTTTAAGGGAGTTCCCCTACCGAACCGTTGCTCTGATGAGTCCGCTCGCCCGTCGTTGAATTCGTCTAATTTTTCACACAATCGACCAGAGACTCTGGACAGAACGCCATCTGTAGGAGAGGAGCTTAAGTAGGAAGACTGGCCATCACTCATACTGGCATGCCCAGAGGACCTACTGTGCAGAAATTAGTACAAATTAGTGCAAAAATTAGTATGAAATTAGTACAAGTCATGCAGTTATTTTCATGCATATTACAGGGAATTTCTTTTATTTAGTTCCAAATGAGCATTTTACTCTTAAGATGGATGGCAAACTTCGCATATTAATGCTTTCCTCGAATATTTTAATTTCCATTATACATCGTATGGTTACATCCATTAATAGCCCATAGGAAAATATACTTTAAGTAAAAAAAAACTCTGTTTATTTTTCTAAAATCACGTCAAAACTGTAAAAAATTCCAGATCAAATTACGGTATAAAGTACCGGCAACTTTCGGTGCATCCTCCTTAAAATCAATTTTACAATACAATTCATTTTGACCGTGAAATATTTTATCTTAATGTTCAGAGTAATGCTTATTTAATCTGAGTAATTCAGTGATTTTACGGTAATTGTTATCGTAAAATTTACGGTATATCTGATTTTTTTGTTCCATAACATGTTCCGGTAAAAATGGATTTTATGGTAAAAAAGAACCGGCACCTTAAGTGCTAGAATTTTTTACGATAATTGGATCAAGAAGTTTTTTTGAAATGTATTCTGTAGGAATTTTACTTTGCGTTGATCAATTATATCAAAACACCAAATTTATTGTAGAAAATTATTAATTTATCATGCGTTAATCGGAATCAAATATTGAAATATTTAAATAAAGAAATTTATATGATACTTTGTTTATACTATATACTATACTTTGTTCTACTATTTTATTTATAGTTTGATTTCAAAAAGTTTAATATGATTTTAACCATTTTATGTTAAATCCCATTGTTATTTTGTTTACATTTGCCTTAGATTTAAACAAATTATTTCACCCAAATGTATCATTAAGTTTTTTTTCCTTCGAATTATCCTTAACTTTCCGTAAATAAATGCATAAACAATAAGCAAACAAAAGTTTATAATTATGAATATAAGTCTTTTATAAGTAATGAATTCTGCAAAAGAACAATTTCAATGAAAACTAAAAAAATGTGTAATAGTGTAAATTAATTTAAATCACAATAGATCGAATGCTTTATCAAATGCCATTAGCATAATATAGACCAAAAATTAACATTCCCTTGGGTAATTCATTTAAAATCTCTCGAATTTTAAAATTTTTTAAACATTTCAGTTATATTTTCTTTAAAAAATATTGTTTTTTCTTCTTTCAGTTCTTAATATATTAAGTTACCATCATAGGTTAAAGTAGCATGGAAGTGCTTCACCTACTCTACGTCTCACGTATTTTCTACCATCACTACCAAAGAGCGATATTTTACTCTCATTGCTCCAGATTACTTGCTTCCATTGATTTTCTGACCATTTAATGTGTTCTTTTGCCCACTTAACTCGTTTTTCGCGTTGCTTTTGATTTAAATATGGTTTTTTTCCTTGGAATTCTAGCTTGTAGTCCAAATCCTGATAACCTTCTTCTTATTGTTCTTGAACTTATTGCAATACCCGCTGCATTCATTTCACATCTAATGGCATCTGATTAAATTTTTCAATCTTGAAGGCATAGCCGTTTAATTTTTCTATCGGCAGTAGCACTTGTGCATTTTTTTTCGGCCTGATTTGGCTTTATTTTCCACTGATTTCGTTTTTTCATAACGTAAACAGAACGTTTCGTACACCAGAACAAGTCACTGAACCACCAACTTGTCTTGAAATTTCAGGCAAAGAGAGGCCATTTTCTCTCAATATGACAATTCGGCTTCTTTTTGTAGATGTCCAATTAGTTCTTCTTGTTGATGACATTGTTTAAAATTAGTTTAATTAAAAAAAAGGACTTTAAATATTCAAAAACAGCAATACTCTATTTAATTGTACTATAGTATGCATCATTCCGCAAAATATTTCCACAACAATAACTCTTTTACCATCCAAATAACCTAAACTATAGTTACAGACATTTGATTAGTCCTAAGAACAGTGTTTGTGATTTGCTAGTACGCTTTTATTACAAAACACGTCCTCATTTAAAACGATTTGTGTTAGTATGTTCTACTAAAATGTGCATAACTTTTTTTGTAATGCAGATATTTTAAATCTGGTTTTGTTATTAAATTTTACATTAAATTACCTTCAATTTGATATATAAACGTTTGTATTTAAGTGAAAATTAATATATTCTACAAGCACAAAAAGTTGAAAAACATGAAACTTTCAAAAAATGCCCACACTTTTAGCCACCACTGTATATAGTGTCTTACTTGAAAGAATTGTCTGGATTATACATGTTCAAAAAATATGCAACATGTTGATGTTCAAAAAATATGCAAACAAACTTCCATCATTCCATGATGGAAAATGCTTCTTTAATACTATGATGGTTAACCATCAATAGAAGTATGATCCCAATTATACATTTCCATGAATGTTTAATGGGAATTCTTGTTGGCTTTGAGGAATATACCATCAAAACAATTTGGTTTCTTAATGTTGGATCATCATAGATTCATACATCATGACACATACAGTTCTAATTCCTACATTGGGGTGATGGTTACCTATGTTTGTTACCATTAAAAAATATAATAGTTCATGATGGAATTACTGATGGTTACCATCAAGATTATGTTGATCCATCAATGGAAAATCATCAAAAATTTTGACGGAATTACTGATGGTTACCATCAAGATTATGTTGATCCATCAATGGAAAACCATCAAAAATTTTGACTTGGTGCGAACAGCATTATAATCAACCTGTGTAAAATCTGATGTACCATTTCGGTAAAACCAAAAGAAAGGAGATAAACATGATTTTCGTCAGCAATGGAAAACTACGTACTAAATACATGTGGTTATTTTTCCATTGTAGATGAAAAATCATGCTATTTGGTGTCAATTTTTGGTTTTATCAAAAATGGTAGAGGAGATTTTAGACAAGTATCATACCATTATTCCTATTGACAAGGTGTTTAGTTTCGTCAAAAATGATCGATGAGATTTTAAACAAGTATCATACCATTATTCTTATTCCCAAGGTGTTTAGTTTCAATATTAAAAGAATTCATAATGAAATATATTTTTTCCTTACTTATTTTCATCACTAGAAGATCCTCCGTAACATTCATGACGTCTTTGAATCAGCCGCCCATCATCCAACCCTAAGACCTGTGGGAAAGACAAAATATTTCTTCTCTTAGATTTCAGTCGAGTTGGCGGCCTTCGGCGACATATTATAGGATCGCCATCTGAGGAACTTTTACTAAGAGAGCCACAATCTGTGTTGGACATGGAATCCATATACGGCGATAAGTGACCATCTGGCGAGAACTCATCCTCTTCTGCATCCTTATATTCCCACACAAGTTGGTGACCCCTGAAATCTTTTTCTGAGTACTGTGTTTCGCTCAGGAAAGTTGGAGACGTTTTGGTGCTAAGTCCTGGCGAGCTCTTGGCATGAACAATTGAATGGTGCTGATCTCGTTGTAGCTTGGACATTTCCGGTGGGTGGGAATAAGTATTACAGTTATTAGAAATATTGTATTCCTTACTAGTTGGAGTTTTACAGTTTATTCGATGAGAAGGAGCATTATTCACTAAAGAGTCTTTACTGGGAGTTCGAGCGCGAATCTCTGTTGTGATTGGCTCTTTTGAGGGTGGCCGGGAAGTACTAACGTCCTTATTGGATGACCTACTAGTACTCCGTAGCTGTGATGGCACTGAAGAAGAGTCTTTACTTGACGGTCTAGAGATAATTGGCTGCTGAATAGTGTTGACTGAAGACTCCTTGCTTGGCGGTCTACCACTGTTGTGAAGAGGAGAAGGTTCCCTAAAAATATACACCACAGATTACTAAAAAAAAACTTAGCAATTAAAGTTTCAGTTTTTTTGATAGCACAATATAAATCTCAATTAATATTAATCTTAATGTAAATTCTCCATTTCTGAATGTCAATCATTTTGCATTTTGAAGTGATAAAGAATAACTAGGTATTTCATGGAATAACTAGACAGTCAGTTAAAGTGTACAAAATTATTGAATTTTACGATTTAACAAGGTATTCTATAGAATAACAATTACTTGATCGATAAAGTATGAAATACGGAACAAAAAAGTTCTTTGAACCAGTTTTGAACCACTTACAGCTGCTTTGCAATGACGTTTGCGTAAGCTTCATTCCGCTGCTTTTAGGCGTAGTTATTGCTGTTATTAATATAAGCTGTAATAAATTTTATCTGCTTTTTCTTTATTATTTATCAATTAATCATCCTCAATAGGGATAATATTTATTTTTTTTAAAGAGATTTCATCAATTTATGATCAAATAATTTATAAAATAACATTGAAATCGTTTATTTTTCACTGCTTTTCATTAGTTACTTCATGGAATAATTAGGTATATAATTTTTCATCTATTATGTATTTTAGCTGACTTGTTCAGACCTTTAATGAAATACCCAGTTATTCTATAATCAAGAAAGGGGATGCTGGCGAACCAGATATAACTTCGAGCTCTACATTAAGCAGCCCCAAATTACTCAAATGATCCGCAATAATAGGCTAACATGACTGGGCCATCTATGGAGAAGCCCTGAAAATAGCGCCATGAAAATAGTCACCTTTTAGAATCCCGAGAGGTCACGACCCCCTACTAGATGGCTCAACGACATCGAAAATGATTTGAAAACACTAAAGATTAGAAATTGGAAGGGAGTTGACATGGATAGGAGGCGCTGGCATTTGTCAGCTGTTGAGGAAGCCAAGGCCATCAAGGGGCTGTAGCGCTGACAAAGAAGAAGTTATTTTATGAAATAACTGAATTATACACTTCAAAGGTACGATATGAACAATATTCTTTTTCTTAAAAAAAGGTCTTTCAAACTGGATTTCGAAGCATAGATTCTCGTTATAATGTACGAATATGGATAAAGTACTTGCTAAACTGCTAAACAATGCAAAAAACATTCTGAATAAGTTTTGGTCCAATGGTCAAATTTTTAAGTTCTTGACGGTTCGCGGGGATGACCGCGGGGATATGCTGACTAATTTGAGCAGAGGATATTAGTTCTGAAATCAGACACAAAAACTGCAACGTGGTAAATATAGCCCCAATAGTTAGATCAGAATAGCGTTAATTTAATGAGCTTGATCCTTTAATGTTAGTTTTACTTTTGCGCTATATATCTCTTGAACTTTTTAAGCGATTTTAAAAAAATTTGCGCACAACTAGACATTTCCCAGATTTTTCCCTAAATTTTCTCTCAAATCTATTAACACTTTAATCGCTAATGACGGAATATATCGCCTTCCACGGGAACGCGAGATATCTCGCAAGTGCTAAAACTGGAACGTGTAGCATCTAGGGTAGAAAAAGCCGCGCTATTGCAACGCCTCCTTATAGCTGAAAACCTCCACACGGTTTCTTACAGGTAGTTCGATCGGACCCCTGCCACCAGTTTACGAACGAGCCATTCAATACAAATTCTAGCAAAAATGAGAAAGTGGTAGAAAATATATGTCTAAAAATTTGTTTAATTTATGGATGTGATTGGTTTTTGTCTCATTTGCTTGCCGACCACCAGAAATTCAATTTTCAAATATATAATAAATTTTTCTCAATTAGTTTTAAAACAGAAATTGGGTTCATGCGCACAACTGCTTCACCTTTTAAATAATCTGCGCAGACAACTTATAAAAAAAAAATCGTGTGGAGGCTTTCTGATATAGAAGGTGATGCCGAAGATTAATTTTAAACAAGATTTATTATAAACAAACAAAATTCTTTTTAGTATATATACGTTAAGTGAATTATTTTATTTTATCCTTCGGATCATCCTCAGGGATGTTTCCCAGACCGTCGCCAATAGCCCATTGTGCAGCTCTAGTGCGACATAAATCAACAACAATGTCATTTATTTTATAACCGTCGTTGAACAGCATTCCCAAAATTGGGTTTACGACTACTGATGTTCAATTCCGTAGCCTTGTAATTTTTAACCCAATCCAGGGGACAGGAGAACCCCTGGATCAAGTATTGGGAGAAATTCGCCTTCGTGGCGGACTTTTTAATGGAACTAACCCGCATTTGTGTTACATAGACAGGAAAACCGCGAAAACCTCCCACGGTTAGTCTGACGTCAAGGAGACTCTAACCCATGATCCGTCTACCCCTGAGAATATTTTACGTCAGCGCTGTGCTGCAAGCCGGGTGCGGAATTCGTATCGACCAGCTGTGGCTGGGATCGAACCTGGGTCACCCCATTGGGAGGTGAGCGATCTATCCCTTGAGCCACCACGGCTCTACTACTTAAAGTATAAACACTCAACATACTGCAGTAATAGCAATAGCGCCATCTGTTGAGGAATAAGAGAAGTATTTTTGCTGTATTTTATCGCTATTTTTCTTTTTAATTTCTTCAACAAATACGGAGAAATTTGAGAATATACGGGTAAATGGGAGATAATCGTAAAATACAGGAGTTATCGTTGGAAAAAAAAAACAGGAAACGTGGCAGGTATGCTCGTAGCACCTAGGGTAGGGCGGAATATAGCGTTTAATGGAATAATAAAAAGAAAATATCTAACCTGGAAACATTGGCGTGGGGCGGCGACTTTTCCTTTGACTTCAGAAAAGGTGCTGAAGAATGTGGCGTGTTTTCTCTGCTGTTTGGCGAACACAAATTTTCTTTGCTAGGACTCCTGCCACCAGCCACGGTGGCAGGAGGACTCTGCAGGAGATTCTCTTTGCTGCTGGCTTTAGTAATCGTCGGTGGTGCATCTCCGTCATCTTTGTCGAATGGTTTCAAGGGATTTCCCCCAAAGAGCCTCTCCCTGCTGGATGTCCTCTGGATGAGTGGTGGACTACTACTGTGTTGTTTACTGCTCATCTCTCCTACTCTCCGAGGTTTGGGCCTGATGATGTCATTGTTGAGAAGGGGCTGCCAATATTGGTGAGCTTCTCTGAATTCAGGGACAGGAGAGGACATGATCACGGGAGGAAAGCATCAGTGAGGTGGTGGTGGTAACCACCCTGGAAATAAAATTGAAATGCATGTAGAGCAGCTACGGTTAAAGTCAAAATGAATTTGTAGTGTATCTACCACTACAAAAATATAATTGCAATTCACTAGTGTATAAGACATCAGTCGAATTCAACTCTCCCCCCACATTGGTGACCCGGACGTGATGTGAACACGCCTACCCTGACGGCAACTCTCACTTTGATCTGAAAACGCCTACTTCGAGGGATGGTCCACACTGAACAGTTGGATTGCTACTTGTGACTGCGACACCATCCCACCGACTCGTGTTGTTGCTACTCAGTTTCGATCACACGAAACGTACAAGATTTATTTGCTTGAAAAAAATACTTGAAAATATATTAAAATGCAAACAAATTATTAGAAGAGAACTTCTCAGTTGCGTATTCCTAAGTTATCTACTCACAATTTATTTTCATTTGTATATTTTGAAGTATTTTTTTCTTTATTTGAAGCTTCATGGCTTACTCAAGGTTTGTCTGAACTCACTTTTTATACACTTTAAATTCCAACTTATTAATAAAGAAAAAAAAAGAGAGTTTGTGAAGAAAATTTTCTTGAGCGGTGTGGTGTCCTCTTAAGAAATTTCGGCAATTATAATGATTCATTAAGTATCACTATAACAAAGATTTCTATTTTCAGCAACCATAATAAGTTGGACTGAGCGATGCTAAGATATTGATGTATTGTCATGCTAATGTTTCGGTTCATTAATTTTTTACGTTTAGTACTGCGTAAATGCGCAATTAGTAAGTTCTATTTTTTTTTTAAATCAACGTTGCTTTTTTTTATAATTATTTCTCAATATTTAAAGACATGGATAGTTGCAAAATAACGATTAAAAAACATTAAACGGCTGGATTGATTGTAAAAAAAAAATCAACAGTATTTGCACACACACAATTAAAAGAAAACACTTCCATAATTAAGAGATTCAACAACACTTCGATTCTCAATCACATTCGGATTCATCAAGTCAGCAAAACGAGGAGGTCACGATGTAAAAAATACTGGGAAAGATAACGATTATCACCACAGTTATCACTGCACACTAACGGTGGAAAATACTCTTCGCGCGAGCTTTCAGACATCGATGGACTATCGGGAACAATGCTCAACATCGCACGTGTAGATATCGATGTCAACGATACATCGGGAAATATAGTACACATTTCAGTAAATCACAATTTCCGATGCATCGGAACTGCACTTTCAAATTATCGGAAATTGTGAACTTTCGAATTCGAAAAGATTCATGTCCAAACTTTCGAGTCCGAACTTTCGATTTCGAAATTTTTCGTGTTCGAAAAATTGCATCGGATCGGCGATGATTGCATAGAATCGATATTTTCCGATGCATCGATTTATCGCTCAGTCCTAATAATAAGTATGTTTGAATCAATTCTTTTTTTTTTCTCCTGTTGAATTGGACTGCAGGTGGCGTAGAACAGAATTCATGGCAACACTTCGCATGCTTTCGTCATTAGCGTGTAAAGAGACATAGAAGTACGTTTGTTTCTGTCTTGATTTTCAATTGGATTAAAAACGTTTAAGTTAGGAAACTATGTGGAACTGAAAACTACATTGGACTTAGTTCCCGGTCTTCTCCCCAGATGGCGTATTCGAGTGTTGCGATAGCGTATAATTTAACCTTATTTGGGTAGATTTCACCCCCGAAGAAAAGCATAGAGGCACTGAACTCAACGCAATAACGTTCACAAACACATTGTTTTAATTTTAAACCTAACTCAGAAGACAACTGTTATTCCTGATTCAAAAATCTTTAAAATTGAGCAATTTGAGATCCATAAAAGGAGACCACAGATGTATCCTAGAACATTAATAAAGATACCCAAGTCAAAATTCTTGATGGTCCCCTCAAAAAAATTTGATGGTTTATGTTGGTTACAGTGTGATTCATGATGGTCCAACATCATTTGATGGTCACCATCATCCAACATTTTCCTTTATGCGATCATGGTCTTTGATATGCCAACAAACTTCCATGATTCCATGATGGAAAATGTTACTTTAATACCATAATTTACTTTAATACTTTTTTACCGTAAAGAGAAGTATGATTCTCATGAACCAACAATCCATGATGATTCCAACTGTACATTTCCATCATGATTTCATGGGAATTCTTCTTAGTTCTCACTCAGGAATATATCATCAAAACAATTTGCTGTTTTTTTATATAATCAATCCGTATAAATAAATCAATCCGAATTCCTACATTGTGATGATGGTTGTTCAAGATCGCTTCAACATTTGATTTCTAGTATGCTACGGAAATACGTGATAGTCCATAATGGTACAACAATGCATTTTCATGACAGTTTAATGGAAAATCTTGTTGGTTCAGCAGGAATATACCACCAAAAAAATTTTTTTTTTCTTTTATAGACGATGATGGAAATTTCTGATGGTTCAAAATGAACAAACCATCAAAACAAGATATTATTCCTAAGTTGGACCATCACAAATCAGTCTGAATTCCTACATTGGGATGATGGTTACTTATGTTGGTTATCATCAAAAAATGTAATGGTTCATAGTGGAATTATTGATGGTTACCATCAAAATTATGTTGGTCGATCAATGGAAAACCATCAAAAATTTTGATTTGGCCAGGACAGTCAATAAAGTATGTCCGGGATTCTACCCATGATTACTCTCGTCTGAAGCTGAAGCTATAACCCCTTTTTTGACAGGGAATATTCCTGGTAGATAAATTTTCTATTCTAGCGAAAAACAAATTCTTTAAAACTATTCCGATATTGACTCAGTATTGAAACATTTATAACAGACCTTTTTTTGGGGAAATAATTTATTGGAGAAAAATACACGCATTATCTTTCAGACGTATGGAAGAACTCAAATTTCATTCATTTTACAGACCTTTTTAGGGGAAAAAATTTACTGGAGAAAAATACACGCATTATCTTTCAGACGTATGGAAGAACTCAAATTTTATTCATTTTACAGACCTTTTTAGGGGAAAAAATTTTTTGGAGAAAAATACACACATTATGTTTCAGACGTATGGAAGAACTCAAATTTCATTCATTTTACAGACCTTTTTAGGGGGAAAAATTTACTGGAGAAAAATACACGCATTATCTTTCAGACGTATGGAAGAACTCAAATTTTATTCATTTAACAGACCTTTTTTGGGGAAAAAATTTAGTGGAGAAAAATACACGCATTATCTTTCAGACGTGTTGAAGAACTCAAATTTTATTCGTTTTACAGACCTTTTTAGGGGAAAAAAAATTTACCGGAGAAAAATACGCGCATTATCTTTCAGACGTGTTGAAGAACTCAAATTTTATTCGTTTTACAGACCTTTTTAGGGGAAAAAAATTTACCGGAGAAAAATACGCGCATTATCTTTCAGACGTGTTGAAGAACTCAAATTTTATTCGTTTTACGTGCTTCATTGAATTATATGTATTTAAGTCTTAATAGTGTTGAAGTAGCAGAAAACTGAATAACGTTCAGTTCCAAGACATTTTACAGAAAGTATTGTCACGTGTCAATTGATGTGTTTTTTCACAAAATTCTAGAGGATCTTTGGTTTTGACCCTCTAAAGCATTGAGGAAAAAAAAAGATTTTTGCAAAAATAAAAAAGAGAACGCATTTAATATTTTTACATAGAGAATCTTGAGAATACAAACAAAATAAAAAAATGTGAGTATCCAAACCTGCATCAGTTACCAGATTCTTTTTTGAAAAAAAATTTGCTCGTTTTCAAAATTAGGAACAAATAATACGAACCAAAAATAAAGAATAAGATTTTTTTAAAGGGCCTTCAAAATTAGGAACAAATATTAAGAACCTAAAAAAATAAGGAATAAGTGTTTTTAAATTGCCTTCAAAATTTGGAACAAATATTAAGAACCTAAAAAAAAGAATACGTTTTTTTTTTTAAAGGGCCTTCAAAATTAGAAACAAATATTGAGAACCAAAAATAAGGAATAAGTTTTTTTAAATTGCCTTCAAAATTAGGAACAAATATTAAGAACCAAAAATAAGGAATAAGTTTTTTTTTTTAAAAAGGGCCTTCAAAATTAGAAACATATATCGAGAACCAAAACTAAGGAGTAAGTTTTTTTAAAGGGCCTTCAAATCAGTTTGGAGAACAAAACGCTGTTAAAAGAATATAAAAACTAGTACGAACCATATTTAAAATAGTTTTATAAATAGAAATATTTTTTAAGATTTTAAGAACCCTTACGAACCTAGCCCATACATTTTTAACAAAATCTTGTAAGAGCTTATTTTGCTTTATAGAAGTGGTTAAATAAACTGAAATGGAATTTTTCAAGCCATATCTTAAAGATAATTTTATACATTTTTTTATCATTATTCAGGGTGCGTAGCCAAATCTTTCAACAAAAAATAAACACCTTTAAAGCACTTTTTAAGCACTCAAAAAATATTTTTAAGCACTAACAAAATACAAAATAATTTTCAAAGACTTTACCTTATCATGATAAAATAACTAATTTCTGGCAAAAAAACTCTTTTCTTGATTATGTTAGCCATTATGAAATGAGCAAAAGTTTTTTTCGGTTCTATAGCAGAGGGTGGAAAATAAAGCCTGAAATCGAGAATATCTTGCAAAATGCAGCAGAGTTGCACACGAGAGTGCAATAAGCTCATCAAACCCAGCTCAGTAGACGCACATGTGGACTCGCGAGTGTTTCATCAAACGTGTAAAATGACTGGCGCTTTCACACGCTACTGTCCGACCAGGGGTCTGTTTAGAAGAAATTTGGGTCCGTTAACGGACCCTTCACAAAATTTCTTTTCATAAAAACGGACCCTTCACAAAATATTTTAACTTAAAAACAGACCCTTCACAAAATTATTTTTCTTTTAATCGGACCCTTCACAAATTTGTTTATCTTCATTATTATTTTGTTAATCGAATAAACCAGTTCCAGGGCAGAAAACAAGAAAGATGGGTGTAAACGAATT